ATCTAAACTGGTAAGTTTATCAGGATCACTTGGGTTCCGAACCTTTTTTTAGTACCTAGACAACAAGTGTTGAAAAATGTGATTTATTTTTTTTAAAGGGGGGGGGGTGAGAAAAAGAAATGTGAAAAATGGAAGAGATGGGCATGCAAATTTATTGTGCAATTAATTTTTTTTTACTTTGCTAACATTGATATTCAACCCTGCTCCTGAAATGTGAGTGAACTAACTTCCTAATAAAACTCATAGAAAGATAATCATAACATAATTATCAGAGTAACACAGTATTAAAAAAAAAATGGTTTGTGAGTTAAATTAGATGCAATCCAGGTTATGAATCTCATTGTCCAAAATTCTCCCATGTAGAGTCAGGCTTACTGCTGCTCAACAAATAATAAAGATGTGGTAGCCATATGAATTTTAGTAGGTAGCATATTCCCCAGGTATGGGATAAGTCATGAAAAGGTCTATTTATGGATCCATTTCATCCTGAGCTGTTAAGGAGAGGATTAAATTAATGGGTTGATCAGACAGGATGGATAGATTTCCTATATAGCGGAGCTTTCATTAAAGTCCTTAAGTGTAAATCATGTAGGGCTTTAAAGGTGATGACCAGCACTAGCTATTTCGAGAAACATCTAGTAATCAACACATCCTATTGCTGAAGTCCTGATGCATTGATGCTCCTCCATTAGTGTATAGACTGCAGCATCTTCGAATAGTTTTCCAGAAGAACTCTACAGACATTGCAGTTATCTCACTTGGAAGTAATAAAGGGTACGAGTGAAGGCAAATATACATATCCCAGGATAATGTTGCAGGATCCAATCTGGGTTTGTCACTGGAACCAGAGGTTTAGTCTTCCGAGCTTTCAGTCTCATGCTGGAGCCCATCCTCAAGGAACTTCTCTCTCACACATTCTGGTTGGGCTCCAGCAAGAGTCCAAATGTTCGCAATAAATTATGAGTCCCCAACCTTCTTTTTCACAGTGAAGACAACTCCATTTAGAGATAACAGAGAGGAACCAGAAAACCACTAGGTTTCTACACAAAACAAAAAAGCTGGCCAGGTCTGACCAGGTTTTAATTTAAGCTTGTTTTGTTCTATCTAGAATATTTTGTTGTATTTAGAACATTATACTATTTAGTGCAACTACTGAATTGTCAAAAGCTAGCCGGGAAATTTAAAAATGTGATAACATGATCTCAGGGCAGTGGAACCGTCATAAATACATGCCAGTTGCCAAGCACCTGAATTTTGATCATGTGATCACGGGAATGCTACAATGGTTGTAAACGTGAAAAACAGTCATGTCACTTTTTTCAGTGCTGTTGTAATTTGAATGGTGACTTAATGAATGGTTGTAAAACAAGGACTATCAGAACTAGCAATTTGTATCAGAAAAGTATTGGTTAAACTATTACAATAGTGTGAAGAAATATCTTCTTTTATTAGTCAAATTGTGGAAAACAATATATTAACTCATTTGTTTTAGCATGTTAGATGTAATCTGCCAATAAATGCAGTAGAAATCCTTATGAGGTAAGAAGTTACCATATTTTTCGGAGTATAAGATGCATCTTTTTCCCTCAAAAAAGAGGGTGAAAATCTGGGTGCGTCTTATACACTGAATACACCCCCTTCATTAAAATGGCCATGCATAGCCTTTAGGAGGCTTCCAGAGTGCCAAAAAACAGGCTGGTTTTTTGCTCATTTTTGCCTCCCCCAGCTCTCAAGAGCACTCTATAAACCTCCTAAAGGCTATGCATGGCCATTTTAATGAAGGGGGTGTATTCAGTGTATAAGACGCACCCAGATTTTCACCCTCTTT